AAAAAAATGTTAAAGTGATAATATAATAAAGCAGATGATTCAATTAGATTAGATTAGAAGATTCCTGGACCTTATCTGACCCTGTTGCAACACGAACCAATCGCAGAAGTTACAGGTTTAGGGTTAGGGTTTCAGGTAATGAACCATTTAGCATTATCACTGTTATCATTGTTATGTAACATGCTAGCCTGTTGACGTCCGTGTTTCTGTTACAGATGGCGTCATATCCAGCCCTAGCCCTCATCCTGCTTTCTTCAGCATCTCTCTGTCTCAGGTGCGAAGCAGGAAAAGTACTGGTCTACCCTGTGGATGGCAGCCATTGGCTAACCATGAAAATCCTGGTGGAGGCTCTTCACTCTCGGGGTCATCAAATCACAGTATTTCGTTCCAACACTAGTTGGTACGTTTCTGAAACTTCACCCTACTACACCTCCATCACTGTCCCGCAGAACGAGGCTCAAAATATAGAGAGTCAAGATGCCATGACTGCCTTCTTGAAGAAGTGCATTGACATACATCGAACAAATTCCATATGGGCAACTTTGGAGTTATATGGAAATGTTTTTGACCTGATACGTGAGAACCAAAAAGTTGTAGCAAAATTTGCTGCCAGCATTTTAGGAAACAAGACCCTAGTGAAGGAGCTGAAGGCCGAGGGATACGATGTTTTCTTGACTGATCCTGTATTCCCAGGTGGAGTGGTGTTGGCACATTACCTCCAACTTCCTCTGGTGTTGAACGTCCGTTGGATTTTCAACGGAGACGGTCATTTTGCCATAGCTCCGTCTCCTCTGTCCTACATCCCTCAGTTGTTCTCCAAGTACTCTGACAAGATGGACCTTTTTCAGAGAATCAACAATCTGTTCTATCACGCCGCGCTGGTCTACATGCATCACTACGTCTCTGCTCCTCCATTCCAGGCAGTGTGTGACGAATATATAAAGGAAGGCGTAAACATCATGTCTCTGGTACAGAACGCAGATCTGTGGCTCATGAAAGTTGACTTTACATTTGAGTTTCCACGGCCCACCATGCCCAATGTCGTGTACATTGGAGGATTCCAGGGGAAGCCCGCCAAGCCTCTGCCATCAGATTTAGAAGAATTTGTACAGAGTTCTGGTGAGCATGGAGTTGTCATTATGACAATGGGAACTCTGTTAAATGACCTTGGTCCTGAGGTTTCAGAAATCATTGCTACAGCTTTTGCCAGCCTCCCCCAGAAATTTGTGTGGAGACACAAAGGAAAAAGACCGGCCTCACTGGGAAACAATACTATGTTAGTTAACTGGATGCCTCAAAATGATCTTCTTGGCCATCCTAAAACCAAGTTGTTCATCACACATGGTGGGACCAATGGCATTTATGAAGCTATCTACCATGGCGTCCCAGTCCTGGGAATTCCTCTTATCTTTGACCAGTTCGACAACCTTGTGCGTTTAAAAGTCAAAGGCGTAGGTGAGATTATCGAAATCACAACAATGGAGGTGGAGTCCCTGACGAGTGATTTGAAAAATATTTTAGACCCAGGAAAAAAATACAAAGAGAACATGGTCAAACTGTCTCAGCTTCATCATGACAAGCCAATGAAACCTGTAGATACTGCTGTGTTCTGGATGGAGTTTGTCATGAGGCACAAGGGAGCTGCACACCTGCGCACAGAGTCATATAAAATGCCGTGGTATTCATATCACAACGTGGATGCGATTGCAGTTTTGCTAGCAATTCTGATGGCAGTCCTTACACTGGTCTGGGTTTTCTGTAGATGGGTTATTCAATTTTTATGGTCGAAGAAGGATTCATCCAAGTCCAAGAGCGAGTAGGTCACTCGACAACATACTCTAAATCATCAGGATTTAGTTCAGGAAAAGAACATAAATGATTGAAAGGAAGCGATTGGGACTTTTCTACATCTGTAGATTTGCATTCTCTTTATTAGAGATAGAGCCAATATTGAAACATTATGGACTTTTCTGAAGAGCAATGTAACACCGTTAAAACAAGGCTATAGTTTAGAATATTGAATGAGTTGAAAATTTTGTAAATCGTTATGAAAGAAAAAA